GCGCGCGTCAAACAGCCCGCCCCCGCTGGGGTGGGGGGAGGGGAAGGTGCACGCGCGCTCGGGGTCGCGCGCCCTAGCGCCTGCGTACTTTGCAAACTTTTTGACTCCTACCTACTGTGCTGGAGTTTTCTGTTTTTTGTGGGGTATTTTTGCGCAATATCCTCAAAGGTGGGCCAGAGAATTCTGAATTTTGATTGGTACATTACTGAGACGCTCCGGCCCCATCTTCCTCCAATCCCTAACTCTCTCTCTTTTCCCTCTGCTGGGTTACTCCGGTTGCGCAGATACAGTTGTTTAGCCTTCGGGTTCGCTGCACTTCTCAAGCTGCGGTATGCGTGGGGGTTGGGAAGCCACAGGATAAATAAAAACGTTATCTTAACAAGAGCAGTTGTCTTTTACTGAGAGTGTGCAATATGCTAGACTCTTCGCCTAGAGGTTGAGTGATTATGGTTTATAAGCTGGAAAGCGGCATAAGGTCCCTGAACCGGGTTCGACCCCACCCGGGGCTGGTACTTGGGCTACAGACCTGCTGCATCCATATCACATAGAGAATATGTGCTAACACCAGATCAAGGGTTCGGATCCCCTTACCGGCCAGCAGCCTAAATAAATAAATTTAATTGTAAAAATTGGTAAAATTTTCACATGGTGTAAAGTACAAAAACGAGTCATCCCTTCTTCCAGTTCCATTGTTGGGGTGCTTTTAAAAAGTACAAATTTGTGTACCTCCCTTCCCCACTCTGAATCTTAAGATGTGGAGGTGGGGCACAGGAATCTGAATTGTTTTACAAGCCCCCAGGTGATTCTGATGAACAGTGGTTTTGGAAATACTGCAGTGTCCTCATTTGGCCTCACTGAGCTGTGCTGCTTGTGCCTCTGCAAAGTTTATGGTTCATGAATATCTCAGGATATTTCTTGTGAAAAGTATTTTTCAATAAAGATGAACAAGATGTATTATATAATATATTTGCATGTTTTTATTTTTTTCAAGACATTATGAAAAGAAATGTGTCTCACTCACTGTGGGTGGCTTGGGACTGTGCCCCCAGGTCTATGATATGTATATTTGTTGAGTTTTCTCTGGCCTAAGGCTACTTTGGTTGACAGGACTGGCTGCACAATTTGTAGGGCCCAGTATGCAAAATGAAAACCTGGGCCCCTCGTTAAGAAATTATTAAAAATTTCAAGACGGTGACAGCAGAGCATTACACCAAGCTTGGGAACCCTCTTGACTGTGGGGGCTTGTGCAACAATGCAGGTTGCCTGCCTGTGAAGGTGAACCTATTAGTTGGAAAGCTTGAGAATTACCGTTTTCATCCCCCAAATCTCCAAATTCCCCACAGTGTGTCCTGTCCCAGGGGCTCCCAATTTGCTCTGTGTCTTTGTCCCTCTTGCTGTTGTCCCTGCCCTGCAGCATTTCACAGGTTTGTGACTCTTTTCTTTGCTCTCCAGCTGCTGATGCAAGGAATCCCCTGGGCCCCCGTCCACTCCACTGCTGACCAGTTCACCCACCTGTGCCGAGCCTTCCTGCAGGCCTCGCCCACATCTGTGGGACCCTGTGACGTGGGGGTCCATCCAGCTGGAGAAGAAAATCCTCTCATGCTAGCATTGCAGACCCCTAAGGGTGAGAGAAAAGGGGGACCTCATTCAGCCCTGAAACTATGGGCCCAGCCCCCACAGCACTGGGAATTCCTCTTCCCCAGAGAACCAAGGCAGCTTGGATTTTTCTTACCTTGGTTAATGGTTCCAAACTTTTTTGTTTCCAAGGTGCTCTTTTGTTGTATATATGTCCTGTTGCCCCTGAGTTTTTATCTGTCAAACTGTATCAACGAAGTAACCATTCACTTTTCCCTTTCCAAATTAACGAAAACATCTATGACTGAATGTACAATAAAATCAAATGTCCCAAGGATTCCTATGATGTTGTCTACAGCCAATTAGAGGTCTGATCAGCATGAGATAATCATGGTGACCAAAATGAGTTGATAAAATCTCAGCACACAAAGATAATGGATGTTTAAACCTGCCTTTGTGGTCTTATTGTGGGTAAAGGTTTCCTTTCTTTTGGGTGTTGTGAAATATTGAAAACAATGTTAGCATCATCGATCTGGATCTCAGTTGGCCTCCTAGGAGTCTAACAGCCCCAGGCTGGGAACCATGGCCATTGAGGCTTGTGCTAGATGTGCTTTGGGTGTGGGTAGTAGAGAATACAAATCTGAAGAAGCTGACCTCCTTGCTGGTAAAGTAAAATTTCACCTGGAGATTATGAAGGGCTGAATTGATAGTCCTCCTTGGTTGCGCTGGTTCTTTTAGCAACAGATTGCTTCCTGCCCTGTAGTGTAAAATGAAGTGACCATTTAGATTCCATGCCCCTTTTCCAGTTATGCTTTGCTCCATTTAGATTTTACTGGATGAATGCAGTAATATCCCTTCTCCCAAGAAGAGTTACTATTCTTGTAGGAATAGCTTCTCAAGGGCAGGCCCTGTTCTGTCTTGTTTGCCACCCTTGGTGCTTTGTAAATACTTGCAGAATTAATAGAGCTTCTGTTGGGCCAGGTACCATGCTGAGCTCTGGAGAGAGCTGAATTGGACCCAATTTCTATTCCTGGAAGTTCTGACAGTTTGATGGGGAGACAAACACAGTTGATAGACCAAATCATCTGTCTGAGTGCTACAGTGGAGGTGTTCATGGCTCTGAGGAGGGTTCTGACCACCTAGGCCACCAACGGAGAGTCAAGGAAGGATTCCTGGAACATGTGAACCTAGTGGCAAGCTAAACAGATAATTAGGGGAAGGTTATTTCAGGAAGAAGGAGCAGTAGGAGTGCACCCATTTTACAGTGGAGGGAGCTGCAGCTTAGATCCTAGGTCTCCTTCTGTGGCACCATTTTGGCCCTTCAGAACAGGATTGGATTGGATTTCTCCATGTCTGTGGGTGGTCACTGCAGCCCTCAGTTGATTATAATTGGTGGATGGTGGGTGGAGCTGATGCTCTTTGGTGCTCTGTGTGGCAGGTCCCGTGTGGGTGCTGAGATGGCCAATGAGAATCACGGCAGCCCCCGGGAGGAAGCGTCCCTGCTGAATCACTCCCCGGGCACCTCCAATCAGAGCCAGCCCTGTTCTCCAAAACCAATCCGCTTGGTGCAGGACCTCCCAGGTACTGGAGGGGGAGCAGTGGAGGGGTGACAGGGTAAGAAGGGCACCTGGGAGCAGCCCTGACCCTTGGCTGATTCCGTGCTTGTTTACAGAGGAGCTGGTGCATGCGGGCTGGGAGAAGTGCTGGAGCCGGAGGGAGAACCGTCCCTACTACTTCAACCGATTCACTAACCAGTCCCTGTGGGAGATGCCCGTGCTGGGCCAGCACGATGTGATTGTGAGTGCCAGCCTAGGGCAGGGGTCTCAAAGCAGCCTCTGGCATCTGGGCCTTCCCTAAATGTACCCTGAGCAGCTGTTATTTGCCTCGTCATGTGCTGGCACCTGCAGATAAAATGACAAGCACGACAGACACATTCCCTACCCTCATGGAACCTACACTCAAAAGGACAGGCTGACAAGTAAACAGATGAGTATAATAGTGCAGGATTTCTACCACTTGTTGGGCACCGTGCTGGTGATGCAAGTGTGAACAAGATAAACATGCCCCCTACCCTCACGGGGTGTCCGTGGTCTACTGGAGGGGGACAGTTGTATTACAGTTGTGGCACTTGTATGAAGAATAGTGTACTCTGGTATCTCCACGATCCTGATGTGGTCTGGTGAAAGGGAGGAGAAAGGAAAAGCTTCTCTGAAAATAAGTGTTTGTTTAAGGTGAGAAGGTTAGCTAAGCAAGAGTGGTAGGAGGTGAGGAGAAGAGCGTTCTAGGAACTGAACTGTCAGTGTGACAGGGGAAGCACATGCATGGGCTCACTGGCGGAACCTGGGCTTTTGTGTTCCTCTCAGTTGGGGCAGCCTTTCTTTACTGGGCACACACAAGCCAGTTGGCATCCCCATTTTGCAGGTGAAGACACTGAGGCTCAAGGGAAGTGACTAGCCCAAGGACTCAGAGCTAGCAGTAAGCAGAGTAAGACTGGCATCTCGATACAGTTTCAGGGCCATACTGCTCACCGCACATACTCTCAGTGTCACCAATGGAGTTCCATCGACAGGGTCTTGCTTTTTTAAAAAATAAGCATTTCTTGAGTTTTTCCTTTATTCCTAACTTTCATTCTGTTCTTAAGGAAAATTGGGGCTGGGTGGTTGGCTCAGTTGGCTAGAGCATAGCCCTGTAACACCAGGGTTAAGAGTTTGGATTCCCATACCAGCCAGCTGCCAAAAAAGAAAACTAAAAAACAAACAAACAATAAGTTAACATGTACTGAGTGCTGATATCATGCCAGATGTCATGTTAAGCAAGTCATTTCACTGACTCATTTAATAACCTCTGCAGTCAGGTAAGGCTTAGCATGGCTGTTTTGAAGGTGAGGGAATGAGGAGGAAAGTAACTCACCTGAGATCACATGGTTACAAGTAGCAGGCAGGAGAGGAGCCCAGTATTCTCTGCCTGCACCCCAGCCCCCTCTGTTCTTCTCTAAGGAGTAGGAGCAGGGGGCGGGAGGGCATGAGGATTCCAAAGTACTTGGGCTCCTGGTTGCAATTCTGCTGGTCTTCCTCCACTAGTCGGACCCTTTGGGGCTGAATGCGACCCCACTGCCCCAAGACTCAAGCTTGGTGGAAACCCCAATGGCTGAGAACAAGCCCAGAAAGCGGCAGCTCTCGGAAGAGCAGCCAAGTGGCAATGGTGTGAAGAAGCCCAAGGTGAGTGCCCGCGGGCTCTCAGGAACTTTCTGGTAAGTGGCCAGCTCAGACAGGCAGCCAGCTGGCTCTCTGCAAGGGTTGGGCACCAACAGGCTGGTCAGGAGTGGGGCCCAGGATGCAGTTCATCAGGTATGCACAGTATTGGAGCCTGTTTGCTAAGTCTCCTGACCTGATGCCTTTGTGACTCTTTTGCTCCAGATTGAAATCCCTGTGACACCTACTGGCCATTTGGTGCCCAGCTCCCCCAGCGTCCCAGGAACCCCAACGCTGAAGTTTTGGGGTACATCCCCTGAGGACAAACAGCAGGCAGCTCTCCTCCGACCCACTGAGTGAGTATCTGCTGATTGTCTTGAGGGCTCCCATTGCTGATGGCCAGCTTGTCCAGGACTGCAGGGTATGGTGGTGGTGGGCAGGGCATCCTTATTGTTTCTGTCTGTGCTCCAAGGGTGTACTGGGACCTGGATATCCAGACCAATGCTGTCATCAAGCACCGGGGCCCTTCAGAGGTGCTGCCCCCGCATCCTGAAGTGGAGCTGCTCCGCTCCCAGCTCATCCTGAAGCTTCGGCAGCACTACCGGGAGCTGTGCCAGCAACGAGAGGGTAACTGTCTCCTGGGCTTCAGCCTCTTGTTTCTATCCACCTTTGGCAAGAGCTGGGGCCTTGCCAGGTGGGCTTGGGGTGATGCAGTGGAGGTCAGTGATTCAGAGCGTGGGCTGTGGAAGGAGACAGACCTGTTGGAGTCCCAGCTCCCCTAACTGCTGGCTCTGTGATCTTGGGCTCATTGCTTACCCCTCTGTATTTTGGGTTCCACGTCTTTAAGGTAGGGACAGTAACAATGCTTACATAAAGGGTGGCTGGAATCAGTAACAACAACAAAAGTAACTGTTAACACTTCCAGAATGCACATTATTTGTTAAGCAGCATGTCTGTAAAAGAGTGTAGAAATGAGAGTTACTATCTCATAGGATTATTACAGGAGTGAGTGAAAAGGATAACTACTCAAGAAACTGCAGCTTTCAATTTTTATAATTAGTAAACAAACCTGCTTAACATGCTGAGATGTGGAGTTCTCTCTCCCCCCTTTTTTAACCCTAGTAACACTTTTTTTTTTTTTTTTTTTTTAAAGATGACCATAAGGGGATCTTAACCCTTGACTTGGTGTCGTCAGCACCATGCTCACCCAGTGAGCTAACTGGCCATCCCTATATGGTATCTGAACCCGTGGCCTTGGTGTTATCAGCACCGCATTCTCCTGAGTGAGCCACGGGCCGGCCTCCTAGTAACCCTCATTAACACTTTTTACAAAGTAAGCAATTCTCAGAATATACTTTGGGAATGCGGCTAGAATGTCAGCTTCTGAAATAGTAGGGACTGTGTTTACTGCCCAATGCAGTGGCTCCTGTTGACTAAATCCAGACATTCAGCAACTCTCTCGTCCTGCAGGCATTGATCCTCCTCGGGAATCTTTCAACCGCTGGATGCTGGAGCGCAAGGTGGTGGACAAAGGCTCTGACCCTCTGTTGCCGAGCAACTGTGAACCAGTCGTGTCACCTTCCATGTTTCGTGAAATCATGAATGACATTCCCATCAGGTATAGCCCCATAGTTGGGGACGACCCTGGGTCGTTTCGTTTCTGTGCCCAGTCTGTATAGGAGGGCTCTAACTTTGCCCACTCTCCAACCCAGGTTATCCCGCATCAAGTTCCGGGAGGAAGCCAAGCGCCTGCTCTTCAAATATGCAGAAGCTGCCAGGCGGCTCATTGAGTCCAGGTTTGGCACTCTTTCCTGTCCCAGGCAAGATAGGTCTGTGATCAAAGTGGGAGGTTATAAGCTATCTGGCCCGTTCTCACACAGGGCTCTGTCACTGCTGGTAGCAGAAGTGGGGCCAGCTCCCAAAGGCAGAATAAGAGCGCAAGACAAGCCTAAGGAGTTGACACTGCTGATGCCGGTGGAATTGGGATGGGAGGAGGGTGGAGGAGACACCTGAACAGTGGATTCTGTGAAGTGCTGAGCCATCTCTTTCCCTACCCTTGACCCACAGGAGTGCATCCCCCGACAGCAGGAAGGTGGTCAAGTGGAATGTGGAAGACACCTTCAGCTGGCTTCGGAAGGACCATTCAGCCTCCAAGGAGGACTACATGGTGAGTGGGCCCCACCCAGAGTAAGGAGGACAGTTGAAAGGCTCTGTTGACACTTCCTCCAGGAAGCCTACTCTGCTTGTCCAGGCCAGGCCGGGCCTCCCACATCAGCCAGTTATGCGATACAGCAGACCTTTCACATTCATTGGTACCCAAACTTAGGACTATGGAGATGTTTCTCTAGGCTCCTGGCTTTCTCCCAAAGAACATTTCCATTAACATTCTTAATGGAATCCTATGCTTGGCTGCCTTTTCAGCTTACTGAATGTTCAACATCTCCCTTGAATAGATTTTTGAAAACAAATTGGCAAACTATTTTTTCTTGGGTGTGTGTGTTCATATCATAGTCAATTCCCTATTCTTAATATGTCCAAAACAATTCTGTTTTCTGGCCAAAACCTATCACTTCTTAAACCTCTCCATCAGCACTAGCAATGGGCTTTCTTTTCAGGACCATTTTTCACAAGAGACAAGGTTTCGCACTTCACGGTAGTAACTGTGTACTTGACACGTAGAGAGTGACAAAGGTAGGTGTACTCACTAGCCAGAATGACTCATTTTCATTCTTCAGTTTCACATGTGTGATTCAGCAAAATTACAAATGCCTACAATCATGCTTGGAAGTAGCTAAAAGCTCAAATTTTGAATCCGCAATAACCAGGCACCCTGTTTTGTAATCCTTTCTCTCCCCGATAGACTGCAAATCCTGTAAGCTGGTACCATGCCTCGTTTGTCTGTTTATCATGGGATGTAGCATAGTGTAACCCCAATCAAAACTGCTGGCATTTATTAGACACTTACTGTATGCCAGGGGCTTGGTAAGCCCTTAAGGGAAATGATCACATTTAATATTCAAACTGTTCTGTTAGGTAGTTCGTATTCCCGTTATGGTTGAGAAATAAGAATCAGAGAAGCTGAGGGATTTGTCCAAATGATACAGCTAGTAAGCAGAGCCAGTTTCCAAACAAGGGCTGCTGAATCCAACAGCCCTGCCGTTACCTGCCAGTCCAGCCAAGGCCCTTTAGCCTCCACTAGTGCACTGATCAGGAGTATCTCTTCCAGGATCGCCTGGAGCACTTGCGGAGGCAGTGTGGTCCCCATGTCTCAGCTGCAGCCAAGGACTCTGTGGAAGGCATCTGTAGTAAGATCTACCACATTTCCCTGGAGTACGTCAAACGGATTCGAGAGAAGCACCTTGCCATCCTCAAGGAAAACAATATCCCAGGTATGTACAAGGTGGTGGGAAGCCAGCTGTGATGCCATCAACTCTGTATCCCAGGCGGTGATTGAAGGAACAAGTGAGGCTGGGCCCCAAGGCCAGGGACTGGTTTGGGGCAGTACCTACTGAGTCTTTTGGCTGGAGGTTTCAACACTTCTCTGAGAGACAGGAAGTGATGAGAAAGGGAGAGCCAGAGTTGGTGGAGAAAGACAGGTCGAGGGTGAGTAGTTGGGTGGACCTAGGATTACATCCATTCTCTGCAAACCGCAGTTTTCCCAGACTGAGGCATAATACCTACCTGGCTTTTAGGATTGTGTGAGTATTCATAGGTACTCAAGTAAACTGCTTGACCCCAAAAGATCCCCAAATAAGGTATTATAATTATTATGATGAAGGACTTACCCAGCAGCAAGACCCACAGATTTCTGCCTGCCTGCCTGCCAGGCCCCAAGACATGGCGAACTGGGGCCTGCTTCAGCATCAGTGAACACATTGACACAGGCCACTGGTTTGCCCATCAATTGCCAGGTTGTTTTGTTTTTTAATGGCTTTTTGTTCCTTTTATTATTGAAACTAGAATGAGACTTCCCTCCCTTGGTGTAAAGTGAGTGTGTAAAACATACAGTAGGGACTGAGGCTGTCTGGTGTGAGAATTAGCAGGGCCAGGCAGGGCAGCCCCTGACTGTTCGCCCTGCCCACAGAGGAGGTGGAGGCCTCGGAGATGGAGCCCCGCCTGGTATACTGCTACCCAGTACGGCTGGCTGTGTCTGCACCCCCCATGCCCAGCGTGGAGATGCACATGGAGAATAACGTCGTCTGCATCCGGTACAAGGGAGAGATGGTCAAGGTCAGCCGCAACTACTTCAGCAAGCTGGTAAGTTAGGGGAAGGAGGGTCTTGACTGAGGGCATGGTTTAGGGCCTGGGGTCTTTCTTGACCCAGAGTCCTCAGCAGGAGACCAGTGATAAGGGCATGAGGAACCACTGCTTAAGGCCACCACTTTCTGTCCCACAGTGGCTCCTTTATCGCTACAGCTGCATTGATGACTCTGCCTTTGAGAGGTGGGGGGGGGGGGGGGGGGGGGGGGGGGGGGGGGGGGGGGGGGGGGGGGGGGGGGGGGGGGGGGGGGGGGGGGGGGGGGGGGGGGGGGGGGGGGGGGGGGGGGGGGGGGGGGGGGGGGGGGGGGGGGGGGGGGGGGGGGGGGGGGGGGGGGGGGGGGGGGGGGGGGGGGGGGGGGGGGGGGGGGGGGGGGGGGGGGGGGGGGGGGGGGGGGGGGGGGGGGGGGGGGGGGGGGGGGGGGGGGGGGGGGGGGGGGGGGGGGGGGGGGGGGGGGGGGGGGGGGGGGGGGGGGGGGGGGGGATGGGACGGGACGACACAACTCCTCTGGAAGAAGCAGAGAGGCCAGGCCTCAGATGCTTACTGTGGCCACTCTGCAGATGATGTTTGGTGTGGGCCTCTATGAGGGAACTGGCCTGCAGGGATCATTGCCTGTGCACGTCTTTGAGGCCCTCCACCGACTCTTTGGCATCAGCTTCGAGTGCTTCGCCTCACCTCTCAACTGCTATTTCCGCCAGTACTGTTCTGCCTTCCCTGACACAGACGGCTACTTTGGCTCCCGTGGGTGAGCACCACAGGCTGCTGGGCCCCTTCTGCCCAGGCCCAGGAAGCTGTCCTCCAGAGTACAGGTCCCACCTTGGCCAGCTGCTTCCTAATGCTCTAGGGATTTTGAGTCAGGCAGTCTTGGGTGTAGTCCCTGCCATGAGCACTTACCAGTTATGTTCCCTTGGACATGTTGCTTAACCTCTGGGAACCTCAGCTTTTCTGGCCCTGTGGGCAGGCATGTGACACCCCCTACCCTGGCCTGTGAGTTTCTCAGTGAGTTAGCTCAGGTTGGAATGGGAACACCTGGTTGCAGGCACTGAGAGAAATGAGCGGTGGTAACTCAGACCTTACAGATTAGTGGGAGGCAGGGTGGGGTGGTGGGGCTAAAGAGCCCAGATGAAAGATAATGCCGTCTCCAGGAGGAAGAAATGGCCAGGCCATGGAGAGGCCTAAAGCTCAGCAGCTGGGGAATTCCTGGGTGTGGCTTGTGCTGTGGAAGCAGCTGGTTCAAAACTGAATTTGAACTCCAGCGCCTCCAGCTTGGTGGACATGGGCATCTGAACCTTAGCCTCCCTGTCATCATTCACTCAGTGGAGACAGTCATACGTTGACCCAGAAGAAGTTAAGGGAGAATGTTGGCCTCTGGCCTGACTAGGGCCATCTCTCCAGTGTGGCTGCATAGGGCTGGGGGTAGCACCCATTTCTAATTGAGGGATTGGGTCCTGATGGAACTTAGAATGCTCACTTCTGTCCCCAGGCCCTGCCTAGACTTTGCCCCGCTGAGTGGTTCCTTTGAGGCCAACCCTCCGTTCTGTGAGGAGCTCATGGATGCCATGGTCTCTCACTTTGAGGTGGGTGTGCTGCTGGGATGGGGGGCAGGGAAGCAGGCAGGCAGGATTGCCAGTCACGTGAAGGCAGCCCCTGACATCCACCCTGTGCCTCCTCCCACAGAAACTGCTCGAGAGCTCACCAGAGCCCCTGTCCTTCATCGTGTTCATCCCTGAGTGGCGGGACCCCCCCACAACAGCGCTCACCCGCATGGAGCAGAGCCGCTTCAAACGCCACCAGCTGGTCCTGCCTGCTTTCGAGCATGAGTACCGCAGTGGCTCCCAGCACATCTGCAAGAAGTGGGTTCCCAGGGAGGATGGGAAGGAGGGCTGGGCTGGGCTGGGCTGGACTGATCAGGCCAGGTTGAGCCCCACCCTGAGCAGCTGCCTTTTCCCACAGGGAGGAAATGCACTACAAGGCCGTCCACAACACGGTGGTGCTCTTCCTACAAAACGACCCTGGTTTTGCCAAGTGGGGTCCGACACCTGAGCGGCTGCAGGAGCTGAGCACCGCCTACCGGCAATCCAGCCGCAGCCATGGCTCTTCCTCATCATCCTCCTCAGAGGCCAAGGAACGGGACTTGGGCCGTGAGCAGGGCCCTAGCCGCGAGCCTCACCCCACTTAACACATCCTGCGGGGAGGAGGAGCCCCAGGGGTGCTGGTATGGACTGCTGGGACTCGGGCATCTGGGGGCTGAACAGACCCCAGGACCCTCCCCCTGGGATGGCAGCAGGACTTGGGCTGCCATTGACATAGGAAGATTATGGCTCTGCTGGGGCTCTCCCTCCCTGCCCCATCCCCTAATGCCCCGCCTCAAACTCACTCCAAGTGTCCTGTAAATAGACCCTGATGCCTTCCCAGTCCCACCCCCTACCCTGTTGCTGCCTTGTTTCATTTGTAAAAGGAAATACAGAAACCCCTCCGAGAATGTGTGAGGGTCTTGTGGGCAGAGGAAGGCTGAGGAACCTGGAGCTACTTCTGGGACCACACCCCTCTACATCCAGGCTCACCTCATGACCCCCGGGCCTTCTCACCCCATCCCAGGGAACCTGGTGATCTCTGCCTGTGCTCAGCAGGTCTCAAGAGTCCGGGGCTGGGCATAATCTGGCTCCAGATTCCCACAACTGGGCCTGCACAGATACTGGTAGCCTGTGCCCAGGCTGAAAGCCAGACTTGCTGGCCCTGGAGCAACCATCGTGAATGGGCAGCTGGGAGTGTTTTATAGTCGAGGCTCAGGAGGAAGAACAGCTTCAGAGCCACCACAGGCCCTCTGCAGACCTCCAGGCATGGAGCAGATACTCCCCTGGGGTCTAGGGAAGGAAGCAGGGTCTGAAGGTGCTCAGCGGGGCTCTCACCAGCTCAGCCATCTCCTGTCATCAGGCCTCTGCACCAAGGGTCTGCCCTGCTGTTGGACCACTGTCCATTACAGGGCAGGGCAAGCTGTGCCGTGGAGCCAGGCAGCCTCTGCTTCACACCCCACCTGTGGGGGCAGCCAACAGGTTCCTCTTCCCTTCTTCCCAGGTCCTTGCCTGGTTCAGGCTGCAGCAACAAGTGCACAAAGCAAGCTGGCCAGGGCTGGACTCTGGTCCCTTTATTGAGACTGAAGGGCCAGTGGGTCCATCCAAACAAAAATAAATTTCTTTCCCAAAGCCTGCCTGCAGGCTGGGGCCCATGGCTGCCCCCCAACCCAAACAACACAGGTCTGGCTCCCTTGGAGTGACAGGTGCTGGCTGCCCAGTATCCAGATACCCTTAAATGAAACAGGGACGTGAGTCCCGGTGGGGCCCTCACCCCTAGGATGGCTGGCCCCAATATCCATGATCTGCGTTGGGCCCTTGAGGCTCAGTCATCGCCCACAGTGATGACATCGTACTCGATGCCCTGGTGCTGCAGCTGTTGGATGTGTTCAGGCACTGCCTCCTCTGTGCCAAATAGGCCCTGGGCTTGGGCCATGGCAGCATCAGCTACTGCTGCCAGAGGAAGGGAAAGCATAGTGAGTTTGAGGCCCAGGGAGCTAGGCCTGGGCCCTGGCCCCCATGGTCTTCAGGGTCCAGCCCCATACCTGTGACAGCCGAGTGTGCTGCAGCCTCAAGTTGAGCCTGTGTGACCAGCTGCTGAGGCACATACTGGATCTGGAGGGGAAAAGCCAGTAAGACATGGCTCTAGAGGAACTCTGCCCATGCCCCAGCTCTACCTGGTCCCCCGAGGACCCTACCTGGGACTCCTGGAGGAACGGGGCCCCTTGTTCATACTGGATGTGCGTGATCTGACCCTCCTGTACCTGGAGAGAGACAATCCATGACCCTGGGAATGGGTTGTGTAGCTCTCCCCCATGTCCCATCTCCACCCCAGGCCTGGCCTACCTGGATGTGATGGCCTTCAGGGACCACAACGTATTCCTGGGGGAGCAGGTGCTGGACACTGTCTTGGGAGATGATGTACTGTACCTGAAGAAGAGTGGGGAGGAGGGGAGCTGGGGCCCCACTCACCAGGAACTCAGCTAAGAAGGCAGAGTAGAGGGACAGCCACCACCAACAATGGCAGTTACAAACATGGCCCCTTGGACAGGTGGTTTGGGAAGTATTATTTCTGTCTTCAGGGTGAGACCTTGACAGGGAGAGAGGGCAAGAGATCATGGCTGAGGGGATCAGGAGCAGCTTACCTGGTTGTCAGAGGTCACCAGGTGCTGTACTGTTTGGCCATCTGCTGTGGTGATCTCTTGGATGTAGGTGGCTTCTTCCTGCCAGGGCCAAGACAGTTCTAGCCTCAGCTCTCTGTCCCCACCCCTGCCTGTTACCTACCAGCAAGGTCCCCAGCCCTGGCTCTTACCTGATTGGTCACTGTCTGTTCCTGGGCCACAATAATGTGTTCCTGGCTCAGTGCCTGCTGTAGTCGCTCTGGGCCCAGGACCCCATGACTGGACTGGAGTGCAGCTGGGAAGAGAGGATGCTCACTGAAGGGTTCCAGGGAAAACTGAAAGGTCCCAGCCCTAACCCCGGCCCAGAAGTGCCCTCTGGCGCCGTGGCTCAAGTCTCTGGATGCACCCTGGTGCCCACCCTGTGGCCCCAGGGGCAGCTCACTGTGTAGTGTGGCCAATGTCTCGTCATCGCTGTTCAGGATGATGGTCTGGGTGGGGGTCCGGGCTGTAGACCGGGCTGTAGAGGTCCCTGACTTCCTTCCATCAGGACTGTGCAGCCGCTGGATGTGGAACTTGAGGTGTCCGTTACGGTTAAAACTGAGGGAGAAGGAAGAAGGTTCAGGGACAGCTCCATGGCGTGTGCCTTGCAGCCCCCACCCACCAGTACCTGGCCTCACCGTTGCCCGCAGAGATGGCATGCGAAAGGCTTCTCTTTGGTGTGGGTCAGCATGTGTCGCCGCAGGTCCTTCTTGTTCTTGGAGGCGAAGCTGCACTGGTTGCACTGGTGGGGCCGCAGGCTTGAGTGCTGCGCCATGTGGGCCTGCAGAAGGGGTAGTTGAGCTCAGCCCTGGTCAGGACAACAAACTGCCCACAGACAGCTAGCTGGTCAGGGAATCAGGTGAAGTAGACCCAGGAAAACCAAAATCTTGTGCACTAACAAGGAGCTGGGTAAAAAGCACGAAGCAGATCAAGATCTGGCGGTGCTGTGTCCTAAGAGAATAAACATCCACAGCCTCCATTGTTAGGTCAGTTGGAAAGTCCTGTTCCGGCTCATAGACTCAGTTTACCCATATGTAACTTACAGGTATTGGTGAGGGGACCTATCCCATCCAGCCCCGATATTCTAGGGCTTAGTCCTGCCTAACTGTGCCTCAGTCTTCCCATGTGGAGGGTGGGGCTCTAGGCATGCTTCCCCCACCAAGTTCTGTGAAGATGCATGGCACGATTGGGTCTGAAAACGAAATCCTCAGGCAAACGGAGGGAGGCCCTGAGATGGACTATGAACTGGCCCAGACGTGCCTCACTTGCCTTCTCCACAATGACTCCCACCTGCCTTGACTCTCTGTGCCCTCAGTATTCTAGACAACTTCTAGAGTTTCCTAAACCACGCCTCCTGCCATCACACCTCTGTACCTTTGCTCCCACGGGCCCAGCTCAACCATCTCTCCTAGTGATGTCTTCCCCAGCATTCCCAAGTCCAAATGACTTGTTCTTGAGTGTCTGTGCTCTCTGTGGGCACACTTGGTTCACACTGGGGCCACTATCTGCCACTAGTCATGCTATGTCTGGTTTGCCTCCCCACCAAACTGAGCTCCCTAAGAGCCAGGACCTTGATATGTCACCTCTGACCCTAGAGGGGAGCAGAGGATCTGGCTTGAGGGGGTGCTCAATAAAGGTTTGTTATACAAATGAATGACAGCAGAGGCAGGGGTTGGGGGGAGGCGGGGTGGCAGCACCTACCCGGACCTCAGGCCACTGGCGGGCACTGAAGGGGCAGTCAGGGCATTTGAAGGCACTAGGCCCAGCATGGGCCCGTTTGTGACTCTCCATCTCAGCTCGGCCAGGAAAGGCCTCTGCACAGATCTTGCAGGAAAACTTCTTTGACGCTGCTGATGGTGGTGAGGGCGGCACTGCCAGGCCCAGGGCTTTGCTGGCTACAGGAGGTGGGGAGGCAGAACTCTGGGGGTCCCCCACCTGGTGGGTCCTGGCTGGAGATGGAGGCTCAGGGCCATCTCTGGGCAGCCCCCCACACTGCAGCAGAGGCCACTTGGCTCCAGAGGCCAGAGCATCTGGACTTGGGAAGGAGATGGAGCCATCTGCAGTCAGCTGTGGAGAGACCAGGGAGCATGAGGTGCTAAGGAGGGAAGGGAGAAGTTGGGGGTGAGGGAGGGGTTGGCTCCCCCAAGCCTCACCTCAATGTGGTGCAGCTGGGTCCCATCAGCAGCCATGATGTAGTGGGTAGCAGCTTCTTTTAGGGTGTCACTCACAACCACAGTCTGAGCTGCCTCACCTGGGGGCTCCTCGCTGTGGTAACGAGAAGAGGAGGGATGAGGCTGGGTTCCAGGAGGGGATGAAGGACCACAGGAGCTCCTTTCCCCAAAAAACAGGCATCAACTGAGGGGTGACTGCCACCACAGATGGACTCAAGTAGGAAGGACCCTGGGTTGAACCCTGGCTTTGCCTGTACCATCTGAGCCTCTGCCATCTCCCAGGGGTCCTGGCCAAGTAAGGCAGGAGGATAGGGCCAGGCCAACAGGTGGCAAACAGGGTGGATCTGCCCCACAAGCCTGGTCTCTACAGCCTAGTTGCAGAGGTGAGGCTAATAAGGACCTGTAGCCACAAGCAGAAGGCAGATGCTGGGACTGGTCTGCCCAGGTGCTGGACAAGACATGGACCTAGGGCCCTGACTCCCATCCCAGCTCAACAATTTGGCACTTGGATTCAAGGCTCCCTCAGACAGCCTAAGAATTCAGTGAGCCTAAAAACATTTCTGCCCCAAAATTGCTCACTGTAGGGAAACTAAGTGCAGGTGCCAGGCCTCAAATGCTAACAAAGGAGCCCAAGGCTGCTACAAATGTTGGAACTGGGCAACACCTGGGATCATCCAAGACAAAGAGCACACAGGCTTGGGAACCAAAGTGACCAGGGTTCAAATCCTCATCTACTGCATGTCCAACTTTAGGACAGTTACTTAACTTCCCTGGGCTGTTTACTCATATATAAAATGATGGAAACGTGGATCTCACGGGAATGGTTTAGGGGAGATCATGAGCATCAAGTGCCCAGAAAATGTAAGGTACCAAAAAATGGTACCTCCTGACCTCCTGAGAATTATGATCTCCCCCATCACCCAATCGCTTTATTATATGTCAGAATTTCTGCCTCCTGCCAACTGGGCTTGGATGGGGAGGGGCCAAATATGACTGCCCCACCACACTTATACAGGGCTGAAAGGGCGGCTGGCTGGTTAGCTCAGCCAGTTGTAGTGCAGCCTTATAACACACAAGTTCAGATCCCTGTACCAGCCAGCCACCAAAAGAGAAAAAGGAAAAGGCTGAAAGGAGCCCTGCAAGTGGCAGTCTCACCTGTAAGGCGTGCCAGGAGCTGATGTCCCCTCCTCCATAGGAGGTGCCGTGATGACGCTATAGCCAGCCCCACCAAAGGGACCGGGTGCCAGGGTGATCTGCTGTAGGTCAGGGTTGCCTAGCTGGCTCTCAGCTGCCACACTGCTCCCGGGCTCTGCCACATGGAGGGTTACCACCTGTGAAGTGGCACCTTCGGGGGAGGGCTGACCACCAGAGGATGCCAACTCTGCTTCCACGTCCTCCGACTTCACCACGGCCACCTGCAATGGCACCAGTAGGCATGATGGGCGGGGTACTTGACAAAGATGCTGGTGTTCGAGACCTGTCTCTATCTCAGTGCCTCAAAGCTCACCTACACTCCAGCCACACCCAGCATGCCACTGCTCATTTGCGCAACCCAAGTTCTTCACAAAATACACTCTGGCCTTCCAAATCCCACTCAGCAACTGGAAACAGACTAACAAATATAGGGCAGAGTGATTTTGCCCCCCAGGGGAAACAAAGAAATGGGGGCAGTACTTAACTCATATCAGAGATAAAAGGTGGACTTCCTTGTCCACCTTGTTCCCTTGGACTTCCCTTGCGGGGATGGGCCAATTAGCTTGCTTAGGAGAGCGTGGTGCTGATGACACCAAGGTCATGGGTTCAGATCCCCATACCAGCCAGCCGCCAAAAAGAAAAAGAAAAAAAGGATACCCCTGAGGTATCCCAGGATTTTGGGGCTGGCCAGTGAGCACAGTTGGTTAGAGTGCAGCCTTATAATAACCAAGGTCACGGTTTCAGATCCCTTTGTGGGCAAGCTGCCAAAACCAAAAAAAAAGATGTACAAAGAGCTCTGATGATGCAATAACAGAATGACTAACAACATAATAGGAAGATAGAGACAGGACACAAACAGGTAATTCAGAGAAGGAATAGAATGGTCTCTAAAAATACAGAAAGAAGTTCAGCCTCAATTATATTCATACAATTATAAATTTAAGACCAGGGACTGGCCAGTTAGCTCAGTTGGTTAGAGTGCAGTGTTATAACACGAGATCAAGAAATTGGATTCCTCTATCAGCCAGACACCAAAAATAAATTAATTAATTAAGACCACAAACTCTATCAGGTTGGTAGAGATTTATAAAGACAGACAATACCCAGTACTGACAAGAATGTAGGGAACATACCGTAGTGGTGGTCATGCAAACTGGCATATATTTTTACAAGACTTTGTACCCTCTGATCCCCCAATTCTACTTCTAGACTTTTTTTTTTTAACTAAAAAAATGTTTATGAGCTTTGAAAATATATGTACATGGAAACACAAAAAACTGGAAACCCCACCATTAAAGGACTGGCTAAATAAGCTTTAGCACATCTATACAATGCTATATGATGGAATGATACAGAGACATCATCTGGAGATGTTATGAGAATGAGGAGATCACACACTGCTGAGTGAATAAAAGAAATGTTGTCAATGAGTAAGAAGCATGAAAACAAAGGTCTAGGTGTTAGTGTGTGTGTGGACAAAACCCTGAAGAAATTCTTAACCCATGAACTGGTTATTTGAGGGGAGAGGAGAAATGTTAAGGACTTTCACCACCTTCTATACTGAACATTACTTAATGTTCATTTTGGTTTTTTATAAGCGCATGCTTTTGGAATCAGGAAAAAACAAACATGAGACTGGCAAGAGAATAGCAGACAGATCAATAGAACAGAACTGAAAAGTCTACAGACTCCTGTACATGTGGGAATCATAAAAAGGACATTTCCAACCACCAAGGAAGACAGGATTATTCGGTACACTGCACTGACCATCTCTCGGGAAAAAAAAGTTTCTTTGTCCCTTCTCTACTCCCACTGCTTCACTTGACTACCCTTAAAAGTTTTTTAAAACAAGGAAAATTTAAACCCCTACCTGTTCGCATACACCCAAAATAAATTCCAGGTGGAGTAAAGATTTAAGTGTAGGGCTGGCCAGTTAGCTTGGTTGGTTAGAGCGTGGTGCTGTAACACCAAGGTCAAGGGTTGGGTTCCCCATACCAGCCAGCCACAAAAAAAAAAAAAAAAAAAAAAAAAAAAAAAAAAAAAACTTAAGTGTAAAATGTGAAACCCTAAGGAAAAAAACACAAATGAATGTTTACATAATCTTGGGGTAAAGGCTGGGGAAGTCCTTTCGATGGATGATACCAAAGGCAAAACTATAAAGGCTGATATATTTAACTACATAAAAACGTAAAACTTCTATATACCTCCAAACACCATGAACTGAATTCTATGAAGATTTCCAGGTCCAATGCCAGCCTCCCTCCTCCGTGGAGTTTTCTGTTCCCTGACCCCCGGCAGTATGTTATTGCTCCAAGTTCTAGGAATTTATAATCTGAAACACACACTCTCCATTTTTTCAAGAGGCTGGGACCTGGGAGGTGCTAACAAACTTCCCTCTGCCTTGGAGACGGGCTGGCTGTACAGGGGTTGGAGGAGGGAGGGGTGAAGGTGACCTTGGGCAGTTGGGTGGAGGAGGGGAGGAGTAAAGATGATGAACCTGGGGGAGGATGTGTTGGGCTTGAGGTGCATATGCCACAGCCAATGGAACTCAAGAGAGAGGCCCAAGCTGGATAAAGCCTTAGGAGACTTCGGGCTGAAGGAAGTATCACTCAGCTAGATGGAAAGCCAATTCAGACCCCTGGGGGAGCACCCACAGGCACAGGGTGGCCACAGAGATAGGAGAAAAAACAAGTAAGAACAGGGCCCCCAAAACCACGGGAGCAGCACGTATTGCTCAGGATGGCAGAGGCTGCTGGAGACTCTGGAGAGTGGAGTGGGAGATCCTGCTGGGGCCTCCCTGGCACAGCTGGTTCCCCTCTGTGTTTTCCCACTGGGTTTCAGTGGATATGTCTCCCTCATTAACTAGGAGCTCCCCAAGAGTGGGGCAGGTCCGATTCATTGCTTTCCTCTATTCTGAGTGGTTAGTGTAGAGCTGGGCACCTAAGGCAGCTGGGCAGGAGAGGGTAGGGGAAGAGGCCCCTAGGCAGCTCACCTGCAGGGCTGCACCCCCCAGCTCCCGCTGGGAGCTCATGTTCAACAGCAGATCCAAGGCTGTCTGTGTGGCCATCGCAGCTGACTCCTCAGCTCCTGGGTGGGTGAGACCTGAGCCTGAGAAAGGGCTGGAAGACTGGCACCAACGCTACCCTCCCCATATTCCAGGCCCCACCAGCATGACACCTGCCCCACTCCAGAAGCACCCACCCTCCCTCCAAGCTCACCTTCTTGGTAGATGATGGTGGCGCCACCCAGGGTGTCAGAACAGAGCAGCGGGGGCGTCTCAGGTGACTGGAAAGGTGCTGCTTCTGGGGGGATCTGTGGGGTGGGGATATAGCCAAGCCTGAGAGGTAATGGCCCAGATTCAAATGCCATTTACCAAGCACCTCCGATGTGTCAGGCATTTTACATCTATTGGCTCGTTTTATCTTCACAACCACTTTTCAGGTATTTATCAGCTCAGTTCTACAGATGAACTGACTCAGGCTCCGAGAGGTGAAGGAACTGGCCTGATACCCTACTACCAGTAAGTAGCAGGGCTAGAACTTGAACTCAGGACAATCTGACTCCTGTGAGAGCCCATGTTCTACCAGCACACTGTGTGGTCCATCTTCCTGGAGCTACCGTGTGAGCCCACATGGCAGACTGCTAGCTACCTACCCCGAATCCATCCTCCCTTTCCTTCTTGCTAACAGAACTCTGATTTTCATCAGGGGGGCAATGTACCCATCTGTAAGACTCCATTTCTCAGCCTCCCTTGCAGCTATGTAAAGTGTAGCCATATGGCTAAGCCAGGAACTTCTGTTAAAGTTTATGAGGGAAACAGACAGACAGATGGCAGGCATCCTTTCACCCTTCCCCAATCCCTCCCTCCTGCTTCCTGTCTAGGATGTGCCTGAGAAGACTGCTGTTCCTGCAGCTATGTTGGACCATGAGGCAACTATAAAGACGGAAGTCATGTGCCTAGAACGGCTGGGCAAAAATATTGAGAGAACTTGGTCCCTGATGACCATGGAACAGCCACACTATCCCTGGACTGCTGATCTTTGAAATCCTTTTTTTTGGCAGCTGGCCAGTACAGGGATTGAACCCTGGACCTTGGTGTTACCAGCACCACACCCTAACCAACTGAACTAACCAGCCGGCCCCCAGAATTCTTTTTTTTTTCCCTTTCTGCCTTTTCTCGTGACCGGTAACAGGATCGCAACCCTCAGTGTCGCACCCGCACCGCGCTCAACCAGTGAGTGGACCGGTCTCTATATGGGATCCGAACCCTCGGCGGGAGTGAATTCTTTTAAACGAGAGAATAACAAACTATTATCCCAATTAAGCTACTGGTATTCCCATTCTCTACTACTAGCACTGGAGAGTCATTCCTACTCTAAGCTAAAGGCTGGCATATCTGTGACTCAGCTGGTCTTTACCACAATCTAGAGAGGCAGGGGTCATTTTGCATCCCAATGCACAAATGAAGATGCTGCCCCCAAGCCCTTTCCGTGCTGCCTTCTGTGCTCAGATTGAGCTTACCTCAGGAGGTTCTGGGGAGCTGGGGGGTGGTCCAGGGGCCGCACTGTGCTGCTGCTTCAGCTCTTCAATCTGCTGCAGAGAAAAGAAGGGGCGGCGGCGAGAGGGGGGCTCCTCAGGATGGCGCCGTCCCCATTCCTCAAAGCTGCTTGCGTGTCGGCACCGAACGTGTAGGCGGAGGTTCTTCTTGTGCCGTGTGCTGAAGTGGCAGTACTCACAGGCAAAGGGCTTGGCCCCTGTAGGCACATGTTGGGGATGCTTGCACCCACCCACCCTCTAATCCGCCCCCGCCAGGAAGCCTTCCCTGACCCCAAAGACCTCTCCAACTGACTTGCTCCCAGTGACTCATTCCTATGCTTAGACAAACACATGCCACTGTTCAGTCTGGTGGGCCAGGACAGAATGAATCAGGGCTGCCCTCTGCACTCACAGCCTTCCTGTCAGAGCACATTTTCAAGGTCATATGACCACACATTCCCCTTGTGATCATCTGCCTCCAGGTAGGAATCTGGCTAAGGGAACCCCTTGCTACCTTTCCCTAATCTCCCCTAGTGTGCCTACCACAGGGCTTGGCACCAAGGAGGACCAAGAGCCACCTTTTGTTGTAACCTCTGTGGGCCAAGCATGTGCTGCTCCTTCTGCTGCTCCATCTGCCCAGGTGCTGTGGAATGAATGGCCCCCCCAAACTCGGTGAAGCTTAAATTGTGTACCCCAAAGTTCCAGGTATTGGAAACTTGGCTCCCACTGCAACTGTTGAGGCTGGGAAGTCCTATTAATGGAAATTGGAAGGTGGAGCCTTGAAGAGGTGATTACACTGTAGGAACATGCTGCAGTGAATGGATTAATAATGCTGGTCAGGGGTGTGGCCCAGAGGGCTTTAAAAGGAGAACCCACAGAGAATTCCTCTCTTTGCTCCGCCATTTTCTGCCATGTGAGACCTCTGCAGTACTGTAAAGCCATCATCAAGAAGACCCTCACCAGATATGCTCCCTGGACTTTGGACTTCCCAGCCTACAAAACTGTAAGCAATAAATTTGGTTCTCTAATAAAGCACCCAGATATTTTGTTATAAGCAACAGAAACGGACTAATACACCAGGGCAGGGCCCAGGTGACACCTGTCTCTAGCCCTGGCGCCCAACACACACAGCACTCAGGAACAAAGGGAACTCAATTTCCTAACAACCCTTCTGACTTACCTATTTCACAACTAAGGATGGTTCAGAGAAGGCAAGTGACTGGCCACACCCACAGGAACCTCTCTTTATATATGAAGGACTTTGGCTGTTCCCAGTGAAGGAAGAGGATGAGAGCCAAGCCTTCAATCGGGATACGGGGAGTTCGGGGCTGGTGGGGGGTGGGACTGGGGGATGCCTAGCCTGACCTGTGTGCTTGACAGCCACATGGGAGAGCAGGAAGTCCTCTCGGAAGGTGCGGTAGGGACAAAAACTGCATTTGAAGGGCTTGTCGCTGACATGGGACAGCTGGTGATTCAGCAGTGCCTTCTTGTCCTCACAAACAAACTCACAGAACTCACACTTGAACCTGCAGGCAATTACATGGATGAAAGCTCAGAGATGGGCTGGGGGCTACTCCCATCCCCTGGGCCTCCTAGGGGATGTACCTGCGGTTGGCAACAGCCTGGATGTGCGTAAGCAGGTGCATTTTGAAGGTGTAACGCTTCTTAAAGGACTTTCCACACTGTGAGTTAGAGGGAGAGATCACTCAGGGAAGACCCTCGCCCCCCAACCCCAGCCTGGCTTTTGGCCCCAACCCACCTTGTCACACATGTGGGGCTTCTCAGTGCTATGCGTCTTCATGTGCTGTGTGAGTCTCTTCTGCATGGGGTACACACGGCCACACACGGGGCAGGGGAAAGAGCTTAGCTTTGGGGTCTGGAAAGGTACAAGAAGGAGCAAGATGGAGAGAGCAGGGGAGGAGGGAGGGTGAGATCTCACTTCCTGCCCACCACCCCCACCCCCACAAGCAGCCCCAGGCAGGCTCCCTTCCCAGACAGGACCCCAGACTCACCGGATCTGGCCTCTTCTTCCTGGAAGAGAAAGGCCTAGGAGTCAGACCATCGCTTCCCCAATCTCACCCCAGACTTTCTCACCTTGACCAGATCCAGTCTCAGCCCTGAGCATCCCCACTCCCCACCTAAGCCCCTTTCTCTTAGAACAGTGTTCCCCCAACTGGAGCTCAGTGGGTAAAATGCCAAGAGGAATGCTGTAAATAACACACTCTGCACCAACTACATCTAGGAAATGGTGCGTTCTTTCTCTCGCTCAATCACAAAATACATTTGCATAATAAAGGCTCTAAGAAGTCCAGCAAGAAAGAGAGCTGTTGAACAGGTGCTATTCAACCTGGTGACCCTAATCTTATTTGGCCACATAACTCCTTTTTCATTTCCTTTAAGAAAACCTATAAGCACGTTGGAAGGTTGACTTTTCCACAAACAAGGATGGAGTCACCATCCTCATGGATCTCTGTATCCAATCTCTGCCCGCCCCCTCATGAAACTAACTCCTTCCTGAAGCTGCAGATCTAATTATAATTCAGTGAGCAATCACTAGGCCCCTAAGGAGTTTGTTTCTTTTTATCCTAAGTTTGCTCTCAGCATGAGAGATGACTGTTGACCCAGAGTCCAGAAAATCTCTGGATTATTTGCTGAGCCCTTTAGGCATACAATTCCTTCACTCCCCTCAACAACTGTCCCCATTTTACAGATGAGAAAAGAAAACTTGCAGCGGGGAAAAGATTGAACTGGGGACCTCAAGGCACTGCTACTGTCCTGTTCTGAGCCAAATGATCTGGGATGAATTACCTTGCCTTTCTGATCATGTCTGGGATATGCAGCGAATGAGGCTGGTGCAGAGCAGGTGCTTGGTAAGTGAGGACCATGGTTTTCCTGGGCCTCCACTTTCCTACCCCACCCCCCTGCCTCCCCACACCCACTGACCGGTCTCGGCTGTGCACAGCCGCATGCCGGATGACATCCTTCCGGTAGACACTGGTGTAGCTGCACTCATCACACTTGTAGGGCTTGCTGCCCACATGGTTGAACATGTGCTCCTGGGAGAGGCAGAAGGACAGTGGGCTGGGGCTTGGCCTCTCTCCCACCCCCACCTCACCCATGCCCACAGCCTTAGGGTTGCTGTGTGATCAGGCTCTTAACATGGAAGTGTGGACAGCAGACTTTGCTGCAAGGGTTGAGGCCTCTGAATGCTGGGTACTCTTCCCATCGAGAATACCGACTCTGTGCCAGGCCCTGTGCTGGCTCAAAATTTGACAGAGAAGGAAACTGAGGCTCAGGGTGAAGGAGCCTTGCAGATGGCAAAGCTTGGAGCTGAACAGGCAGTGTGGTTCCAACCTATACCCTTCTTACTGCATGTCCTCTGCAGAGCCCAGAAAACAACTTCCAGGTCACAGGTCCCTGTCTGTGTAGGAAGAAGCACCATGTGCAGAAAGCCCAGGGGCTCTGATTGCCCATGCTCGAAGTATCCCCTGCCACACTCACTACATTGGCCAGGCCAAGCCACAGTATCCTGGGTCAGTAAAATAGAACTATTAACACCTACGGCCCCATTGGGCCACTCAAGGATGAAATTATCCAGGTATTAGATAAAAGACAGGTGTAAGGCTGCTGCAGGCCTGCACAGGCACCTTTGGGCTAAGGAGAGAAAGAAGCCCCTTTCTTGAGACACATTATTGCCATCTACTGGCAAACTTTCTAACACACTGAATTTGATGGAACCAGAGTTTTACTGCCATCTGCCAGTTTGTGGTGGTGAACAAGCAAATCCATGATGTATACACCCTGAATAGCACTCTTGAAAATGTGATTGATTCCACCATGCACTGCACAACCTGCAAACCTCCCCATGGAGGCCATCCAGCAGGGGCTGAAGCACTTAGCCTCTTCAGTGGGTTGGGGGCCAGATATATGCCCTACAAAGGCACAGGAGAGAGGTGACTCCACTCCCTGTCAGCGTCACCAGCCGGCCCTTGCCTGCCTTCTTCATCCTCCGCCCAGCCCCATGCCTTCCTGGATGCCCACCTTGAGCGAGGACCAGCGGCGGGAACGATAGCTGCACTGCAGGCACTTGAAGAGCTGGGGGTCACCGGCCTCATGGGAGTTGACATGGAAGCGCAGGTCCTCGTGGGACAGAAAGCGAGAGCCACAGATACGGCACAGGAAGGGCCTCAGCAGCGGTTTGGGTGACTTGTAATAGTACCTGCCAGGAGGGTGTGTGGAGGTCTGGCTGGGTTGGGGGCCCCAAGAGTCCAGTCTGCTGCCTTGCCCACCTCACCTCTGCAGCACATACTTGCGGTATTTCTTGCCTAGGAAGCGCCTGGAAGGTCGACCACGGCGGCGGGGCGGCGTGTCCAGCTCGTCCTGGTAGGAGGGCACTGTGTTCTCTGTGTCTGACTGGCTCACGCCAGGTTCCACAGGGGCCCTGCCAGTTTTGCCCAGGGCCACCAGGCATCCTGGGCCTGAGGAGGTGGGAGCCTCAGGATCCTGTGGCTCTGGAGGGCTCTGTCCACTCTGGGAACTCACAAAAGGGTCTCCTTCCACACCTGCCATGGACATGCCAGGCCACAAATCAGCCACAGACACACCAGGATAGATGGGCCAGAGGCCAGCCAAAATACCCTCCTGCCACCCCCCACACAAGGACAGCTGCAGACAGCCCATGCCCAGAGGGCAACGTAGATACCACATCCCTCCTACAGCTGATGTGCTGTCAGCACAGTATTACTCAACCTGGACACTATCTGGAGCAACAGTGAGAGATTGGGGACCTGGGTTCTAGACCTGGCTCTGTCACTGACTTGCTGTGCATCCTCAGGCCATGCTACTCCCCTCCCTGAGTCTCATTTGCCCCATTTGTCAAATGGAGGCAATAATCGCTGCTTTGGTAAACTTACAGGAACTTTCTAAAGTCTGGGAAGCAACATCAGTGCTTTTTTTTTTTTTTTAAAAAAGATGACCAGTAAGGGGATCTTAACCCTTGACTTGGTGTTGTCAGCACCACGTTCACCCAGTGAGCTAACCAGCCATCCGTATATGGAATCTGAACCCATGGCCTTGGTGTTATCAGCACCACACTCTCCTGAGTGAGCCACAGGCCGGACCCAACAGCAGTGCTTTAACATTAGTATTCCCTACAGAGGTGCAGGGCTGCAGGGTGGAAGGGAGGGACATGCTTGAAAACCTTTTAAGTCTTAAGAATCTGAATGTGTTATCTCTTAAAAAAAAAAATCAACATTATTTATATATAATACTTTAAAAATTAAAAATGATACAGGCAATGCTGATAACATCCTGTTTCTTGATCGGGGTGCTAGGTTATACAGGTGTGCTTTCACCTTGTGACAACTCATTGGCATGTGTAGGACATGTGTGCTTTTCCATATATATACACACCTAAGTAAAAGTTATTTTGGAAAAGAGACTAATGAATGAGTCTTCCAAACCGCACGTACACAAACACCTACCATGTACTTTTTTGTGTATATTTAGCCCTTAAAGCAATCCTAAAAGGCAAGTGCTGCTATCATTTCCACTCATAAATAAGGGAACAGGAGATTCAGGAGGCAAAGCAACGTGCTCCAGGTCACAAAGCATGTAGGTGGCAGAGTTGGCACCACCTACTGGGTATTTCCTGTCCCCAGCTTGTGATGCTTCAAGCCAGGGATCCACAGGTCTTAGATTTGTCCCTCCTCTGTTCTCTTTTCAGTAATATTTAAAATTTATCTTATTAGTTCAGTTATAAAGACCCCAACTTCTCTTTTGTTGTGACAATTTACTATTGAAAGGCACTTTTTTTTTTTTCCTTTTTTTTGTCTTTTTTCGTGACCAGTAACGGGATCGCAACCCTTGGTGTCGCGCCCGTACCGCGACCGGCAACGGGATTGCAACCCACGGTGTTGTGCCCGCACCGCGCTCAACCAGTGAGCGGACCGGTCTCTATATGGGATCCGAACCCTCGGCGGGAGCACCGCTGTGCTCCCAAGCGCCGCACTCTACCGAGTGCGCCACCAGGCGGGCCCAAAAAGGCACTTTTCACAAAGCTGAGATATAGCTTCCTGAGTCAGCATTTCTTAAACTTGGGTCTAGGAGGGCTTTCCCCTTTACAAGGAGGCCTGCAGGTCACCCTGGTTTGAGATCACTGCTCTGAACAGCACACCCAGCCCCCAAAGCTCCACAAAACACAGAGAGTGCCCTTGACCCACCCACATGGCCCCTCCCATGACTAAGTCTCACCATCTGGGATGTCTGAAGTCTCCAGGCGAGGCAGCTTCCGGGGCCGGCCAGGTCTCCTTCGGGGTCTTGGGGTACTGGGGGTGGGGTGCTGGAGTCGTAGCTGCCGGCCCCGGGGCTCATCTTCAGCTGGATTATAGTCGCTGTCCTCTGTGAGGACAGTAAAGAAAGGTGGACAGTAGCTGGACCTGCTTTTCAGCCTTGACCCCTGCCTAGCTCCTCTGGGAAGAGGCTCACTTTCCCTCCCTCCTACTCCTTCAAGCCCACAGTGACACCCCCTCCAAAAAGCCCTTCTTGTGCCCCCCTCTGCTGACTGTGAGCGTCCCTCCTCTGAGTTCCTGCAGTCCTTTCTCTGTACCTTTCCTGGCACCTGCCACTAGCTCGTATGGCAACTTTATGTGAATTAGAAGAAGGCATCCCTTCCTCAAGACACTTTACAGCCATTGTTAGAAAACAACTGTAACAAACACAACAAGGTCAAGGGTTCAGCCAGCCACCAAAAAGAATTTAAAAAAAAAAAAGACAGGTCTACAAACTCTATGACTGCACCATCCAAAACAGCAGCCACTAGCAATATGTGCCTACTGAGCACTTGAAATATACTCAGCCCAAAATGAGATATAATTTAGTGTAAAATACACAGTGAATTTCAAAAACTTACTATCAAAAAAGAAAAAAAAAACTCATTAATAATTTTTATGATTACATATTGAAATAATATTTTAGATATATTAGGTAACTGAAATATACGATTAAACTTAATTTCACCTTTTTTTTTAAAAAGATGACCGGTAAGGGGATCTTAACCCTTGACTTGGTGTTGTCAGCACCACACTCAGCCAGTGAGCGAACCGGCCATCCCTATATAGGATCCGAACCCGGGGCCTTGGTGTTATCAGCACCTCACTCTCCCGAGTGAGCCATGGGCCGGCCCTTCACCGTTTTTTTTTAACATGGTTTCCAAAAAAATAAAAAATACACATGTACTTTTGCTTGCACTATATTTCTGTTGTACCAATATGAACGGGCCCTCTTGGGTTCTCTTTCAGTGTGCAGCCTGCACAACTGCACACAGAGTTCCTGGTCTTAGCACAGCCACCTCTGTCTTATACTGGAGGCACTGTGGGTGCATGCCAATTCCTCTTTCCTGGCCCTCCATGTGAGCTGGCAGGAACTCAGTGAGTATCTGTAGATGCGGGTGGGGATGGCAGGCCTAGGAACCATGGCAGCCTACCCTCCAAGTCATCAATGGCACCAGCATCTACGATGTCGTCATCCTCCTCCTCCTCTGGCCCCTCTTCCTCCTGGGTCTTGGTTGAGCTGCCCCACTTCCGTAGCCGTCCCTTCTTACAAGCTGCTGCTGCTACTGGGGAGGTGGGGGGAGGGAGGGTAAGACAAGCTTGCCACGTCTGGCTCCCAGTACCCCACCCCAACACTTGCAATTCAGGCTGCTATTGGCGCACCTGGGCGGAAGTGCCGCTCCCTCATGTGGCGCAGCAGTGTGGCCTTGGTGCTGCTCCGGTACTGACACATCTTGCACTTGAACTGCTGCACCACTACAACCTCCATCATGGCCTCCAAGCTCTGCAGGTCTGGCTCCTCAGAGCCAGTGGCTGGGGGTGGCTGCACGGGGGAGCTGGGCCCACTCTGTGCCTCCTCATGTGGTTCCAGGCACGTGGATGTGGACGTTGGGCCGTCGGCCAGGGCCTCAATGGCTGCCAGGCTGTGGGTCAGGGTGGAACTGGACATGGGCGATGTCATGGGGGCACCTGGGAGTGAGTGAGTGGGTTGGAGGGGAGGTTAAGCAGAGGGCAGGACTGGCCATGAGCTAGAGCTGCCCCTCCCACGCAGGCTCAGGGAGCTCAGAAACAAATGCCCTACCAGAGGCCACCTTGTCAGTAGGAAAACTGAGGCCCACAGCAGTGGATAACCTGCCAGGACCACACAGGGAGTAGGAGGCAGAACGTGTCCTTTTGTACTCCCCCACCCTCTGTAGGGCGCCCTGGGTCTGGTGTCTAGGGTCTTACCATCATCTGGACCCTGCAGGATCAGGTATTGTGTGGTCTCAGCCCCGCCATCCTCAGCACTGGTCACAGTGATGCAGCCTGGGCAGAGATGCGGGGAGGGAGTTCCCAGCTATAGGCCCACACCCCTTCTGGCCCATCCATGCAACTGCAAACCAGCTGCATCACCCCTCTGGCCTCAGTTGCCTCCCCTGGCAGGGCTACTGGTAAGTCTGGTGTGAGTGACATGCCGGCTCAGCAGCAGACCTACAGTTACATGGTATGCCATGACTACCCCAGCTGCTTGGCCATTGACTACTAAACCTGGAAAGTCCTCCTCCTTCCTCTCCAAACTTCCTCAAGGCCAAGGCCCAGCTCCTGTATCGTTCTATTAGGGTTGGCTTCCCAGACTATCCTAGGGCTTTCTGAGGTGCTATGACCTCTATAAATGTCATTAACAATAGCAGGTACAGTGTGTACTTACAAACTCTGAAGTCAGACTGTCTGAGCTCATGACCCAACGCCATCCACTGCTTGCTGGTGACAGTGGGATAAGTTATTTTATGTTCTCTGTGCCTCAGATTTCTTATCTGGACTGTGAGGATAACAGCATCTACCTTTTGGGGTTACTAGGAGGATTAAATGAGCTACTCTATGGAAAGTTTAGAACAGTCTCTGGCACAAAGTAAGCAATAACTGTTTTTACTATTTATTGAGTGCTTGTCACATGCCAAGCACTATGCTAAGAACTTTACTGCACTGTCTCATTAAATCCTCATGTCATTTACCATCATGAGACAGGGGTTATTGTTCCCACTTTACACATTTGATGTGGTGAGGTCATTTGCCCAGTTCACACAGCTGGGATGTGCACAGCTGGCTGCTGGACTCCGCAGGGAAACCCCTGTGGGGAGGCCCTTGCTGCCCTCTGTCTGACTCACTCTGGATAAGGTCGGGCCCAATGGTGGATTCGATGATCTTGTCAATGGCCGAGCCCAGGTCTGAGGAGGAAGCCGTGCAGTCAGACACCAGCATATTGGGGTCTGGGAGTGCGCTGGAATGCACCAGTGCTGGGGGGCCACCTGTCACACCGGCCACTGGCCCACGAGACACAGAAGATGAATCAGGGAGATAGCCATGAGGCAGGGGGTCTGTGCTTGAGCTGCTCTCAGATACCTCCTCCTGGGGGCAGGAAACAGGGAGGGAGAAAGTTTAGGAGCCAGGGATGGGGCAGGGCAGCCTGCAAGCTCCCACTTGTTAGAGAGAGCTCTCCAACCCAAGGACATGGTGAGTGGGGCCACTCATACCTTCAGCCCCATTGGGGAGCAGTGGGAGAAGCCATCTAGTCACAGAATCCCCCAAGAAAAAGTCCCAGCATTCCTGGATCTGGTTAGGGGTTACCCCAGAAAAGGGGAAGGAACCCCCACACTCTCCACACCACAGCCAGGTGCAGCTATTTTCATTGGGCTTTTGCATAAATTGTTCCCTCTGCCTGAAACTTCCCAGCATCACTCCATGGCTAACTACTACCCAGTCTTCTCATCAGCATTTAGATGGTACCTCTTCTAGGGAGCCGACTCTGACCCCAAGGCCAAGTTAGGACCTCTTTGTCCTCAGTGCTTTAGCCGCCTGCATCCCTCCACACGACTGTTCACTCTGCATCCCAACATCCCCCTCGCCAGACTGCACCCTCCACAAGGGCTGGGACTACACCTGTCTTGTCCCCTGTTGTATCCCCAGGGTCCAGCACACTCTGGTAGGCCTATCTCTGTGGAATTAATGAAACTCCTGAACCCCAAAGTAAGGGCCATTGTCGTGTACTTCTATCGAGTGATGTCTTGAATATGATCATGATCTTGCAGATAATAATGGCCAAAACTTATTGAGTGCTTACTATGTGCTGAGTACTGTCTTAATTGCTTAATTAATTCACTTAATCTTCACAAAAACGCTACGAGGCAGGAATATTTATTACTGCCACTCTACAGATGAGGAAACTGAGAGCTAGAAGTTGGGTAGTTTGCTCAAGATCACAGAGCTAGGAAGTGGCAGCACTAGGAGGAGTTGATTTCCAAAGTGTTCCAAGAGAATACCTAATGGGATCTCATGACCAAGTACCTTGGAAGCAGGTATTCATGCTCTACTTTACAGATGGAAAGGCTGAGGCTCAAAGAGGTCTCCCAGTGAATTAGAGGCAGAGCCAAGACTTGGACCAAGACAATTGCCTCTCAAAGCGTGAGGACAACAGGTAGTGTAGTGGGTAAAATCACAGCCCATTAGAATCCTGGCTCTGGGTTCTCAATCTGCACTCTGTGCCTCAGTTTCCTTTTCTGTAAGACGTGGACAAAAGTGGTCTATGCCTTATACACGTTTTGAAGCTTAAATGAGAAAACCCATGTTAGGTGCTGGGCATGGTGCCCGGCTCACAGTAAACTAGAAACAAGTATTGACTACAAACAAGCCTTGCTGGCTGTTTCCCCTTGGCTGTCAGGTCCCTGCCTTCACCCACGCCAGCCAGCCCGGTCCGTACCGGAGAGCGGCTGCTGTGATCCGAGCTTTGCCCCACGCCAGAGTCGTCGGCCTCCGCCGGCCCCGGGACGGCCGCGGCGTCGCTGCTGTCTGCAGACACGGCTTCCGAGGTGCCCACACCCAGGCCACTCTCGGAGGGCTCCTCGGGCCGGCCAGGCCGATGGGCCGCGTCGCTACTGCTCTCCACCTCGTTCTCCTCCATTGGCTTAGGGGATCGCCTGACAGGGAGGTGCAGCGTCTGGGGCCTTCACTCTGCAAGAAGAGGTGACCGGGGCTGGAACAAGTGGGCCACCCTCCCGGCCCCGGCAACCAGAGCCCACCCAGCAACACCCTTGCGCCCATTTCGCAGACGCAAAGACTGAGTCTCCGACGGGGTGGGGCCTTCTCGCGTATTGAGAGTGGAACTGCGGGAAACAGGACGGAGAAGCCCTGCCTCCCAGGCTAAGCCCTTCCCCGGGAGAGTGGTCAATGGCCGGTAATCTTGACCCTTTCCTTGCCTCCATGATTTCCGTAGAGAGGTTCACTCTGTGGGCCCGGTATGGGCTCAGTGGTTCAGCCCTAGTGGTCCCCCCTTATTCCCCCAGAGTGCAGGGTCAGTGGTACAGCCCGCAGGGCCCCTGGGTCAGTGGTTCGCTCCCCCCCGCCCTTGGTTCCCCTGCGGAGGGGGCTGATAGCGACGGTCTCGGGGCCTGGCGACTTGGGGCTGTCCCCGGCGCTGCCTGAGCTCCAGGCCCGACGCCATCTTGTGCCGGCGCCGGCTTTCCGCTCAGGCAAGTGCGAGAGCGACTAAAGGGCCTGGGACCCCGGGGCCCTGTTCGGACAGCCCCGCCGGCCCGGGACCTCGACGTCGGGTATCCCCTCAGGGTGGCCCCACTCCAAGGCAGGGGGAAATGGAGCGGCCAGACTCTACCCAATACTCACCTGAAGCTTCTGTAGCCGCGTTCTTCTCCGACTCCGGCATCGACGAGGTCGCCATCCTCTTTCCCCCGGTGCGGAGGAACCCATCGGCCTACCGTAGGCCGGAACTACTTCCTCCTCAGGCCCAGGGAAAATAGGTTTCCAGTGTTCGGCAGGTCGCCCCGAGGCCTTAAAATCATAATCAGGTCCGGAGAGACTGTATGATTTTATATATCCCCTAGCATGGGTGTCGGGGTTCACCGTGGCATGTGGACTACTTTCTCTCGGCGGAGGGTTACATATCAGATGGCTATATGACGTCACTGCAGGTCCCTTCCCCGGGCCGCAGGGTTGGGCGTGGCTCCTGGTTGTTTAGCCACGCCCCTCCTGGAACTGCTGAGAAAGATGTGCGGCCACCGGAGTCTCAGTATGCAAGAGAGGAGTAAACGTAATCAGTCACTTTACCTGGCTTTTTAACCGATCGCTTAACGCTCTCCTTGAGCCTAATCGGATCCTGCCCGATTAGGCTTGATGTGCCTTGATGGGAGGGGAGTGTGCAATCCTTGTTGTGCAGACGGGGAAACTGAGGCCCGGAGACTGGACGGGCTGGTCTAAAAATCACGTCAAGTGAGGGGACTCGGGAGGCAAGTCCTGATGGTGGGTTGGGGAAATGGAGAGGAGTTAATGCCTAGCCCTTAGTGAGCTTTGTATACATATCATTTACCTGAGTAGAGCTGGAGGTTAAGACATCCTCCCACAGCTGTCCTTTGCTTGATGTAGGTGGCGTAGGTGTATTTGAAGATTCACAGTCCTTCAGAAAGGGTTTGCCTCTCCTCCTGGATGCCTGAAATGCCTCCTTCTGTTTAAACCTTTTTAGCATTTTGCAGTGGAAGAGCACTAGAGAGGGAGTAAGCCACCCTGGTTTTGTCCCTAAGTCTCTGTGTCGCACAAGCTATTTTCCTCAATTGAAAAATACGAATTTGGAGGAAGTCTCAAAAACTCCTGCAGAGAAAACTTATTAAAAAGGACAAAGGGGGGCCGGCCTGTGGCTCACTCGGGAGAGTGCGGTGCTGATAACACCAAGGCCACGGGTTCGGATCCCATATAGGGATGGCCGGTTTGCTCACTGAGTGAGCGTGGTGCTAACAACACCAGGTCAAGGGTTAAGATCCCCTTACCGGTCATCTTTTAAAAAAAATAAAAATAAATAAAAAATAAAAAGGACAAAGGGTGCTTTCATCTGAGTATGAGTGGGTTTACCTGTTGCCTTCCTAGGTAAAAATTTCCTTCTCTAGGTTTCCTCCTTTGTAGGGAAAATAAAGCAGGAGGCCTGTGGCTGTATTAGGCCCCTCGTTCCCCATTCCCTACCATCCAGCAGAACCATGCAGGCCCCTAGAGCTGTCCTGGAGAGCTGGGTTAGTGCTGGTGTGATGGCAGGTTGGTTTTGCACTCCCCAGGCAGTTTTCCAACGTGGACCAGAATCCTCAGCTCTACAGAGGTACCCTCCACACCCACCCCTGCCAGTAGGATGCATATTGCCTCTGCCCCAGTCACCTCCTCCAAGAAGGTCAGGGTACTCATGAGTAGCCCCACAGCACCCCTTCCGATCTTCAGCCCAAGATTCAAACCTAACCTTTGCCTTTGCCACAACATCACAAGATTGCAGAATATCATGAAAAAGGAGAAGAGCTCAAGGGCAAGAGAGGGAAAACTCATGGCTCCTTGGCAACAACACATCAGAATCCTTCCATTACAAAGACAAGTAAGCAAATCCTGATTTTCTGACTGCTAATCTGGGGCTTTCCCCACCATAGCATCCAGTTTGTATTTCTGGCCTCAGCTTTGTCGAGAAGACTTCTGGAAGCAGTGAAGGGACTCTGGATTAGAAGGACATTAAAGAGGACCATTAAGAGGAGAGGAGCCAAGAGGGAAGGAGGAGGGAATGTGTCCGGTACTGTGTCTGCGTTTTGCTGCATCATGGTATCTTAAGGAAGCTGGGGTTATCTTCCATTGTAGAGAGGAGGAAGCTGAGGCTCAGAGGGGGAAGTGACCTATCCAAGGTCACACAGCCAAGAGGGTAGAGCTGGGATATGGACCCAGGTCTGTCTATTCCAAAGCCCCAAGCAATTTAAGTGTGTACTTCAAAAAGTTCATGGAAAGATTTGTATTATCTTTTACCGTGTGTGGGGGTGGGGGTGGGGGTGGGGGGTAGTATGGGGATGCAAAAGGCTGTGCTCTAACCAATGTATTATCTTGTAAATTTATTTTTCCATGAACTTTCTAAAGTACCCCCATAGGGACTATGTGAAGTATGCTTAGTAATCATAACACTTAAAATATTCTGTCAGTCACTGTTCTAAGAGCTTTATCTACATTAGTTTATTTAATCCTCATAACCGCCCTCTGAGGTATTTGTCATTATTATCTCCATTTTACATATAAAGAAACTGAGGCACAGAATAGTAAAGGAATCTACCTAAGTAAGGGGTGGAGCTGGAATTAAAAACTAAGCAATGTGCCTCCAGACTCCACACTTTCAGATTGCTGTACCATTTCTCATGTAGTAATAATAACACCTGGTTCTTAGATGACACTTTATCTTTTCCTGGGTCAGACAGGGTGGTTACTATTTTCTCATTTTATAGGTGAAGAAACTGAAGCCCAGAGAGAGGAAGTGACTTCCTCAGTATCACACAGCAAGTTTCCTGGTCTAATGGAAAGGTGTGCAAGTCCAGGTCAGACCTCCTGCAGTAGAGAGTAATCATACTAAGCACCATATTGAGCACTTACTAAGTACCAGGTGCAGCATTAGGTGGCTTATACACATTTTTAAACTCTAATGACAACTACTAGATAACTCTCAGTATTCCCATGTGACAGGTGAAGAAACTGAAGCTCAAGAGCAGTGAAGCGCCTTGTCCAAGATCATGCACTTGATGGTCAGCAGAGTTGGGATTCAATCCCTGGTTTCCTGACTCCCAGTCTAGTGCTCCTTCTGTTGTACTAAATGCCCCAGGAGGGCAGCAGAGCTGAGAGAAGGCAGTCAGCAGGTAGGTGCTCTGGGCTCATCTCTACCTGCTCTCTCCACGCCACTGCCATCTATGTGTTTAGCTAAACCTGATTTTAAAAACCTATTTATAGCTTAAAACTGTACCACTGCTTGGGATAATGAGTCCCTTAAGTTGACTCCCCATGGTGTAAATTAAGGCTTCCTTTTATTTGTCCTAAATCTTTCTATTACAGGATTGGACGGGGGTAAGGTTGGGGGGAAAGGCCCTAGGACCAGAACACTTGGATTCAGAAAATAGGCTGAAGTCCAGATAGTGTTTGCTTGTTTGTATAGAATGGTGATTCTATATCAGGCATCAGGTGACACGTATGCAAACATGTCATCTGATTATTACAAAGACATGAGGGGTAGGCAGGGCTTGGCTTTTCGTCTCCTTTAATCTGTCTTGTTTCCTATGGTATCCCCAACATTTATCACAGTTTTGCAGACACAGGTAGATGCTAGATACTTATTTGTTACATGAATGAATGAATGAACTCTCATTTAATAGACAAGGAAATAGAGACACAGAATATCAGGGGTCTAGCCAGATGATTCAGAAGAGGGAATTTAGGGGGCTGGCTGGTTAGCTCAGTTGGTTAGAGCATGGTGCTAGTAACACCAAAGTCAAGGGTTTGATCCCTGTACCTGCCAGCCATCAAAAAAAGAAAAAAAAGGGGCCGGCCCGTGGCTCACTCGGGAGAGTGCGGTGCTGATAACACCAAGGCCCCGGGTTCGGATCCCACATAGGGATGGCCGGTTCGCTCACTGGCTGAGCGTGGTGCTGACAACACCAAGTCAAGGGTTAAGATCCCCTTACTGGTCATCTTTTTAAAAAAAAAAAAAAATGGGGCCAGCCTGTGGCTCATTTGGGAGAGTGCGGTGCTGATAACACCAAGGCCGTGTGTTCGGATCCCATATAGGCATGGCCGGTTCGCTCACTTCAGAGAGTGTGGTGCTGACAGCACTAAGTCAAGGGTTAAGATCCCCTTACCGGTCATCTTTAAAAAAAAAAAAGAGGGAATTTAATATGGGAAATTAGCTATAAAGTTGTTTGATGGGCAGAAATAACAACCAGGGGAAGTTGAGGCAAAATTGAGATTAGCAATTTCAGGAAGCCACGACCTCTCCTAGGGCTGGAGGTATAAAGGCGGGAGATGGTATTACTAGAGACCAGGAACTGGGGCCACCTGAAGAGAAGCTGGAATCACAGCAGGCCTGTTTAGCAGGAGCTGAAACCATGGAGTAGTCACTGCAGCTGCTGAAGCACCCCCCACTCTACCCTTCCCAAGGCTGAGAGAGATGGGGAGAAATATCTGGCTTCTTCTTTACTCTTCCTGCCTAATCTCTCACCAGGGCTTCCCTTTGGCCAAATCTAGCCAGAAGCCAGTTGGCAAGGAAGCCCAGGAAATGTGGTTTGCAGGGATCAGCCTCTGCCATACACAGCAGAGCAGGAGAAGGGCAGAGGATAGATTTGAGATAAACAAAAATGAAACAGCCAAATGATCCCTTACCTAGAAAGGAGCCATATCATGTATTTTTGTCAGGCAATGCCTCTCCCCAAATCGAAGTCTGTGTGATCTTTGTTTGTTTATTCTTGTATTTTTAAATGTTAAGCCAATGGGTCCTATTATTCTATGATTTTTATTATTTATTTACTTATTTATTTGGCAGCTGGCCAGTACAGGGATCTAAACATGTGATCTTTCTAGGTTCCTCATCACCTCTTCCAGGAAGCCTTCTGGGACTCCTTCCCAGTACGAGTTGCTATCTCTCTACGGTGAGTTCCCCTGTTACACTGTACATGCCTCTGTCATAACATATACCACCGTGTAATGAGCTTTCTCAATGCACTGAGCCTCCCAAGGTCATACCTGAGTCTGATTTGTTTTTCTGCTGGGTAGAAAATTGTTGTTGAATAGGTCGGCTCTTAGTAGGATAACATGGAGCAGAGAACTCTAGAGTAAGACCAAACCAAAGATCCAAATATTCCAGCACCTATATTTAAATGCTGTGTGACTTTGGGCAGACTTCCTTCCCTGTGAGTCTCAGTTTCCTGATCTGTAAAATGGGAAAACAGTACTCACAGGGAACACTGAGGAGTAAAAGGGAGAATGTGTAGCCACGCAGTTAAGATTGTAGGCTCTGGAATCAGACTGTCTGCAGTCAACCCCCAGCTCTACTGTGAGTAACTTAACTCTCTATTCTTCTTCTTTTTTTTTTTTTCCTTTTTTCTTTCTTTATTTGACTTAACTCTCTATGCCTTTGTTTCCTTACCTATAAATTAGGGATGACATTAATACTTCATGCGGTATTCATGAGGATTAAATGAAACAGTGTATGGAAAAGAAAAAAAAATGTATGGAAAACTGTGTAAGTGCTCAGTAAATGTGCCCAGTATCATTACGTGTGGTGCCCAGCCCAGTGGCTGAACACTGACCAGGTAAGCTCTCAATGAAATATGTCATACAGGGAGCCTGTCTTTCTTGTTTACCACTGCAGCTGAATTACCATGCATGGTCATTGGCACATAGTAGGTGCTCAATCAATCTTTGTTGGGTCATTGAATAGTGACTGAGTTACTTATGATAATGTTATTCTGCCTATGAGTTCAGTGCTTTGTGACCTTCCCTTCTGCCCCAGGCACCACAGAGGACATACAGCCTACAACACCAGCCCAACTCTGGCACTGAGATGTCTTGTACAGGCCAAGGGACCATCTTGGAAGTGAAAGTGGGAACTTCTGGGCCTGTGGGTAGGGGGCATGCACAGCAGGAGACAAGGGTTTGGAGAAAAGGACTAGCAAAGGGATCTAACATTGATTGAGTACCTACTATGTGCCAGATGCTATACATACTGTTGCATTTCCTCCTCACAGCAGCCTGCAAAGCACAAATCATTACCCCCATTTTAGAGGTGATAAAATGGGAGATCTGTGAGGTAAGGAAACTCATCCAAGGTCATGTAGAAATGAAGGAGCCCAGCTTGATTTGAACTCTGGACTGTCTGGCTCCAGCCCCTATTCTGTCCACTGTACCAGCTGCCTCCCAGAGGGCAGGAGATTGGAAGCTGAACCGCACACCATACAGGAAGCCCCAAGAGCCAATGCCAAGGCCGGACTCAGGCTGAGCGACAGCTTGAGACCATGACTTTGACAGCTATGCTGAGGTTGGCCCAGAAGCAAATGGTGCTAAACTTGAATGCCTGGGAAGACGAGCTGTGACCATGAAGACAAGAGATGGGGAGGGGCTGCAGCAGGGTGTTGAGGAGGTGCTGGCTCTGAACAGAAGGTCCTTGGGCCCTGCCTCCAACAGAAAAGGCTCCCTACTTTCTTACTCTATGACCTTGAGCAAGTCACTCAACCATCTCAGTTCAGTGTCCTCACTTGTCACACAAGGTCACTACTCCTCCTGCATTGTCATGGTATTACATGAGACAGTGCAGGGAGACAGAACTGGGTCAAGTCCAGGCCAGGGCTCAAGTACTAATTAGTTATATGATATAAAGCAAGTCACTTCACCTCTCTGAGCCTCAGTTTTCACATCTATATAATGGGGATTATACCTGTCTCACCAGATCATTGTGAGGATGTGATGATTAAAGTGAGGGCTCTGGAGTACATTTTCCTGGGTTCAAATTATGCTCTACTACTTTTTTTTTTTACCCCCACGGCTGGGTGGTAACTGAACCCTTGACCTTGATGTTACAAGGCCACACTCTAACCAACTGGCCAGCCCCCTTGCTGCACCACCTTGAGCTGCTTGGTCTCTCTGTGCCCCAGTTTCAACCCCTGCAAAGTGGGGGTGACTATAAGCACACTCATGTCATGGAGTTGTGATATAAAATATAATCAACAGAAAGAATATAGAACAAAGTAAGTTCTCTGTAACTGAGAAATCATTAGCCCTTGGTCTGGCACCTGATAGTTTTTAGTTGTTATTTTGGGGGGTGTTTTTGTTCTTTTCGGTGGCTAGCCAGTACGAGGACCTGAGCCCTTAACCTTGGTGTTATAACACTCACTCTAATAGCTGAGCTCGGGTACCTAATAGTAACTAGTGCTTGCTGTAGGCTAGGCATCACTTTAAACACTTTACACTTTGACTTTAATCTTCGAAGCAGTCCTTCGTGAAGGTATATTACTGTCCCCATTTTATTCATGAGGAACTGAGTTATTCAGAGGTCCAATGATTTGCCAGAGATCTCACGATCAGTGGACAGACCAGGACTTAAGCCCTGCAGAATCAGCCACTCCATCCCTAATAAAGGCTCCGTAAATGGGAGCTGTTAGAATGTCCACGTTATGCGTGAATGTTTTTTGGAACCGGAGGAGATGGAAATTATTCATGTCCGAGCGGAGTGGACCTTAAATGAGCTCTAAAGCCTGGAGTAGGTGCTGGGGGAGGATGGCGGGGTGGAGGGAGGAGGGGCCGGTCTGCTCAGTTCGCGTTTGTTTCCAGCAGGGGGCGTCCGCTGCCTCCGCCATGTTTGTCAGACCGGAACCAGGCGGCTGGGCTGGAGACCTGTTCGGTGGTCACCACTCGGCTGGTGACCTTGGGGACCTCGTGGAGGGGCAGCAGAGAGTGGTAGTGTTAGCCTGTGCAAAGCCAGAGGCATGCCGAAAGGGGTGTTATCTCCTCATGTTTCCCAAACCGGGCTGTCAAACTGCCTCATGCAGGCCTTCCAAGAGGGCCAGATGCTTGAGCCACATCTAGACCCTTCCCCGTCAGAATCTTCTGGGCACAGTACAGGAATCTGAAATTTTTTTTTTTTTTTTTTTTGTCACTTGGCCAGTAAGGGGTTCTGAACCCTTGACCTTGGTGTTATCAGCACCGCGCTGTAACCAACTGAGCTACCTGGCCAGCCCTGAAACTTTTAAAAACTTTAATGAATGAAATACCGTATGGAAGTGAAAATCAATAAACTGGAGCTATAGATATTAACAGATGATGCTCAAAAATGTATGTTGAGTGGAAAAGCAAGGTGCGGAATGCACAGAACTTAATGTGTGTGGGGGTGTCCCAAGGCAAGAAAGTGAATGGAGGCCCACCTCCATCTCCACCCCCGCATCCCATACCCCCTTCCTGTGTGTGTTCACTCCCCAGTTTCAGCTCCATTTACCCCCACCCCACCCCTTTCCAAACACTCCTCTGGCCTGGAGGTGCACAGGTAGGTAGATGGTCCACTCTTCAGGAAGATCGACCCTGTAAAGAGCCCTGCAAAGGTGCTGGAGACAGGCTCAAGGCTGTTTGGGCCCAGAGTTCTGGGGTCCCAGATATTCTGACTGTGGTCTCTGAGAGGCTCATGGACTCTAGGTGTGCACATTACTTTGTCCCTCTGGACTATTTGCTCCACAGAGAGGGGCAAAGACAGTGGAGGGCCAGAGGGAGACACCCACTAAAACTTGGGGTCCAAGGCCGGACTTGTCCAGGTCTAAGAGCTGTACTGTGTAGGTGAACACTTTTTTTTGTGAAGGAGAAAGCATGCAAAATAGTATTTTATTTATTGATACTTATGGAAGTAATAAAATATTTTTTTAAATGCATGGGAATAGAAACATGCATGTCTGAGAACACCAAATTCAGAATGGTGCCATCTCTTGGGCAGAAGGAGGGGAGTGGGGTCATAGAAGAGTGCACAGGGGAAAACAAACAGTGCACAGAGATCTTCAAATTGTGTGTCATGTTAAATGACAGTCTGGGTGGTAGGAACTGGCTTTGTTGTCTATACTTTAACTATGCCTAAGCTATTTATAATTTAAAAATTAATCTTAAAAAGTAATATATTAGGGCTGACTGGTTGTTCAGTTGGTTAAAACGCTTTGTTATAACACTGAGGTTAAGGTATCCCTGCACAGCCTAGCCACCAAAAAAAAAAATCAAGAAATATGAAAAGGTATAAAATCTAGGTATTCTCTCTTTCTGTCCCCCAATCTCAGTGCTGCTTTCTAAAGGTAACCACAGTTACTTGTTCCTTGTGTACCCTCTGGAAATGTTTTAAGAATATGTACACATTGGATGATGTAACTGCTCTGGACATTGCTTCATTCCCCCCCAATTTAATTGTTCTTGTCTTGCATAATTGTCCATAAGTACATATAGATATATCTCATTCTTTTTAATGACTAGATAGGATTCCACTTTATGGATGTACCATATTCATCCCTACTGATGGTCACTTAGGTTGGTTGTTTGCTACTACAAACAGTACTCGGTAAATATCAATGATTGCTTGACTTGCAAGAATAGTACAATAAACACTTGTGAGTACATTTGTAAGAAAAAAAAATCTTAGCAGTGAAATTGCTGGATTAAAGGATATGTCCATTTAATTTATTCCCAAATTATATTCCAAAAGTTCACACCAATTTACATTCTTACCAATGATGTGAGGTTATCTGTTGTTCCATGCCCTCACCAATACCAACCAGATTGTTTATATTTGCCTTATTGATTTGTAAGAGCTCTTTGTATATTAGAGAAATGAATTCTTTGTCTCCCTTTTGTGCTGCAGATATTTTCCCAGTGGAGCATTTTTTTTTAAGTTGACTTTTAAAATTGTACTTTTTAAAATTGAAATTCACAGAATATAAAATTAATCAGTTTGAAGTTTATAATTCAGTGGTATTTAGTAATGTTGTGCAACCACCACTTCTATCTAGTTCCAAGCATTTTTTTTTTTTTTTGCTGCTGGACGGTACAGGGATCCAGTTCCAAAGATTTTTATTACCTCATATGCATTAAGCAATTTACCTCCATTCCCCACCCCTATCAGAGCCATTTTTTTTTTTTTTTAAAAGATGACCGGTAAGGGGATCTTAACCCTTGACTTGGTGTTGTCAGCACCATGCTCACTCAGTGAGCAAACCGGCCATCCCTATATGGGATCCGAACCCGTGGCCTTGGTGTTATCAGCACCGCACTCTCCCGAGTGAGCCACAGGCTGGCCCGCCATTTGTTTTTATGTAGTCAAATTTAGTCAGCACCACGCCCACCCAGTGAGCAACCGGCCATCCCTATATGGGATCCGAACCCGTGGCCTTGGTGTTATCAGCACCGCACTCTCCCGAGTGAGCCACAGGCTGGCCCGCCATTTGTTTTTATGTAGTCAAATTTATTAATCTTTTTCATGATGGCTTTGAGGTTTTGCATTGTGCATAGGAATACTTCCCCAACTGTAAGAATTTATTTTTTTATTTTATTTTATTTTATTTTGTCAATATACAATGTGGTTGATTATTGTGGCTTTTTTTTTTTTTTTAAAGATGACCGGTAAGGGGATTTTAACCCTTGACTTGGTGCTCTCAGCACCACACTCTCCCGAGTGAGCCATGGGCCAGCCCAGAATTTTTTTAAAACAAAGGATTTTAAAATTATTATTAATGGTCAGTGAAATCTTAAATCCTGGGAAGGAACCCCTGTTCTAGATCACCTTCACTAGAATATGAGTTCCTGGAGGGCAGGGCCTAGCCCCAAATGCAAAGTTAGGTAGAGAGTAAGTATTCGGTAAATGTTTGTTAAAGGCTGTTCCTATCTCAGAATTATGAAGGGAAAACATCTTGTATTCTCTTGTCCTTTTCTGAGGGTTTTCCTTTTCTTAATTATGCTTTTCATCCATTTGGAATTTATTTTGATGATTGGAATGAGGTAGAGATACAGCTTTATTTATATATTTTTTCTAAGTAGTTAGCCAGTGGAACCAACACCATATTAAATAATCCATCTTCCCCCCACTGTTTTGAAATGCCACTTTTAGCTTATACTAAATTCCCACATGTATTCAGGTCTATTTCTGGACTCCCTATCCTGTCCTGGTGATCTCTCTGTCTGGGATTCTGTATTTTTTAAAGGTCCCCAGGTGATTCTGATGCAGCCAGTCTGCAGATGGTGCTTATCTATGAGGAGATATTTTTATGGATTCCTAGCAAAATGAAGGAAAAAAGAAAGTATAAAGTTAAATTTCTTTTAAAGGTCTCATCTTTTGAAATTACGTCCTTACTATACCTGTTATTTAAAAATATTTTAATAAGTTAATGTTGATAGTAGATGGTCATTCTTGTTTTATTTATTTTTAAGTACATTTTTAAAGGACTGTAACATACACAGAACTGTAAGCACAAAGCATATGTGTACAGCTTAATGGATTGTCACTAATTGAACACATGTATTAATTTCCCAGGGTTTGCTATAACAAATTACTACAAACCTGGTGGCTTAAAACAACAGAAATTTATTCTCTCACAGTTCGGAGGCTAGAAATCCAAAATCAAGGCGTCAGCGGGGACACCCTTTCTCTGAAGTCTCTGGGGAAAAATCCTTGACTCTTCCAGCTATTGTGGCAACATCAGGCCAATCTGTCTGCCTCCACCTTCACATGGCTTTCTTCTTCTCTGTGTCTCAAATCTCCTTATGCCTTTCTCTTATAAGGACAACTAGTCATTGAATGTAAGGCCAACCCTAATCCAGAATGATCTCATCTCCATATCCTTAACTTAATTACATCTGCTAAGATACTGTAGGGAAACTACAGGAAAATAGACAGGGCCTCTGAGATGTTCAGAATCTTGCCAAGCATTTAATGTAAATATGCACGTGCATCCAGGTGTTCCTTGGCTATTGTCTGATGTAGATGCACATGGGCACCCAGGTGTCCTGGGTTATCAGACTTAAGTATAAAGGATGAGTAGCTCTGATCCCCATTGGCCTCCCCTGCCCCGGGATGGTTGGGGTGGGCGGCTGCTACTGCTACTGGAGGCTGTTGCCGCCAGGGCCCCAGGATGACCCTAGAGACCACCGCCACCGTCGCTGCTACCAGATCGGTAACCTGCTACTGCTGAACAAGCTGAGGATGGAGCTCGTGTCATCTGCCAATGGGTCCCAGGATCCTTCCCAATTACCTACCTTGTGGACCTGCATGGGAAGGGTCTGGTGACCCAATCTGTATAACAGGTTTGAAGGGTCTGTGGGCCCAAGCCCTAGCAAGACGGATGCTTTTTTCAAATAAAGTCACATTCACAGGGTCAGGGTGGATATATCTTGTTCGGAGTGGGGGTTGGGATGGGGCACAATTCAACCCTTGACATCATCCATGTAACCAACATCCCATAGCAAGAAACAGGACATGACACAGCCGTAGAAGACTCCTTCATGCCCTGCCGACAGTAGTTCTTTGAGAATCTTAGTGATGTGCTCAATCAGTCTTCTTTTAAAGAAATCTCTCAAGTCAACTATTATATTTATGAATAAAACTTTTTTCTTGGAGTGAAAATGTCAATCCTATTTCTTGCTTTCCAAATTA